TGTAACATCTAATTACGATATACGTAATCACAAACAATTAGCTAAAACTGAGTGTTGTAAGATCAGTTTGCGAGGTAATTTCTTCCTGAATGAGTTCTTTCACATCTGGAGTAGATTTCCTGAGGAACTAGGCACTGCAGGTTCATTATGCCTTTCGTTCCCCACTTAATAAGCTCCTCACAGATGATGAGTCTATCACTCGTTTGGTCACTATATATGCTTTCTGGGATAATGAAAACACACCAGGACCCCTAAAAGTGTAAAGTAAGGCTATCATCAATCCCAAGTATTTTTTTCTTAATGGGCCCTAACATTATTGCACAGGGCATTTGACTGCCATCCCACTAGCTTAGGTTGTGTAGTCAGTAGAGCATATATCACCTTGATGTAGGGTCAGTTTTACCCGCACATCCACAAATAAACACGACATATCCGACAACTTTTGCGTATTCTACGTGGGAAAACCACAAGAGTCATTTTTATATGCATAAATTAAAGTGTACATATAGCTCGAGCGTCTCAAAGATGGGAACCTCTCTCTTCCCAATTTCGTCTTGTGTGGTGTATCATTCTCCGGTTTCTGCTAGTGCTTTCCTGTTCTCCTTCTTTTTTCAGCTGAAGTTTGACGAGAAAATCTTCAGCATAATTTTGACCAAAATTGTCAACCTACTGAATATACTCCCCCGTACTTGATGCTGGAAATAATTGGAAGAACCCTTCCCCTATTGATCTTCAACTCTCTGAAACGTTCCACAGCAAACTCGTCCAGTTGCCAACAGCCTAGATGTGACCACGTACGAAAACCCAACTACAATAGACGATCTAAGGCTTCTGGACAGTCATAATGATAGAGAAAATCTGGACAAACAACCAAATCTAAGAGATGAACTCACTTGGTGACTCAAAGTGAGACATATCCACAGACAAACTTCCCTAGTACTTCACCTCATTTCACTCCTTTTTGTAAAAGACAACAGTCAACATACCTCCTTGATAATGCTGTATGCTTCAATATGAATTCTTTGTGCAAACCTGCATCATCATTGGACAGTAGTCCCTCAAATATTCATTGCTTTGTACAGCAACAACTAATTCTGATGGATTACGTCTTCATTGCTGAGCAAGGTCACACTGCGAGTGGGAAGTATGAGGACCTGTGTATCCACTTGGATTATATGGTTGTGCTAATACTTATTGTTACCTGAAATCTATGAAGTGAGTTTCCGTTGGCTGATGGTACTAAAAATATGTTCACTCATGTCAAAATTAACATTTATTTGACGAAACATGGAACTATACTGCGAGGTTAACCATCTAGGTCACATGTAACGCAAACGTTGAATATTGCGGGATTTTGATGTCATTTTATTGTGTAAAAAGAATCGTGAGTGGGGACAACCGAAACTCATGAAAATCTCAGTGTACTATGAAGTGACATTTTTCTGTTCTTTTCATAAACTGTAGTCACTTTTATTGTCATTATAAACCGCGATGCGGTAGCATCTGTATGATTCAGGACAGCTCAACTAATGCAGATAATTTTTAACACTATCTCTCATGTAAAAATCTTAGTTTCGGAATACAATATTCATTTATTTATTTTATTTAGTGATAGACATCAGCCACCTCTCTGACCAGGTAGGCAAGCTGTTCAGGTTTGCCTGAAGCGCACTTATATCCTCATCGTTCCTAATTTCCCGCGAGATTCTTACATCATCAGCGTAGAGAATCAAAGGGGATTTCGTGATATTTGGCGGCTGATTTACGTATAGGGGAAACAGTAGGAGGGCCCAGGACTGTGCCTTGTGGCACTCCACTCTCTAACGACTTCCAGGTGGAGAGTTGAGAATTGATCCCAACTATTTGTTTCCTACCAACAAGGAAGTTTCATATCCATGCGAGCAGACTGCCAGTGATTCCAAGACTTCTCAGTTTCCCGAGCAACCTGGAATGAGGTACCTCGTTGAATGCCTCGCTAAAGTCTATGGAAATAACATCTACAGGTATCCTATCATCTTTAGACTTAACCCAACTTTCTCTGGCTGTAAGAAGGTTCGTCAAGCAAGAGAAATTTCTACGAAAACCGAGATAATACAGTGTCTCTCTCCATGTGGACTATGATGGCTTTCTTGATTACTCTTCCTAGGATTTTTACTACAGTACTAGTCAAACTTATCAGTCTGTAATTTGATGGGAGCTGCCTATAACCTGCATTGTGGATAGGTGTTACTATGGCATTCTCCCAATCATGGGGGAGTATGCCTCCACTAAGAGAGTCTGAATATAGTAGTCAGTCAGTGGGCCGGCTACACAAAGTACAAGCTCTCTGAGCAGTCTTGGGTGCAGCTCATCCGGTCCCGTTGATTTTTCCACGTCAAGATTACCTAGTGTCCGAAACACATCATTGCGATCGACATCCACAGAGTTTATTCTGTCGGATGTCGATGCTTTTACTGTTGCATAAGTGTCGACAGAAAATTCCTGTGTGAAGACCTCGGCGAAAAATCCAGCCATGGCTTCTCCTTTTCCCTATCGTCCTCAATCAAATAGCCATTTTCTGTCCCATTGATCAGGGCGGGTATACCACTACGCATGTGCAACTGTTTCGACGGCTTTAACAGTTAAGTTTTGCTCAACGTAAAAGACGACACCACCACCTTTGCGTGATAACATGTCGCCTGTCATGAGGCAGGGAGGTAACCTTGAACTACCCTTGCCTGTAGGGCGGCATTTTTGCGAAACCTACGGCTCTTGTACTTATGACGACAAAATAACAGCAGATGGAATGAGGTCACCAAAAAATGTCCGCCCGGTCTACCAGCTGGCCTTACTCTGTACCACTACATTGTCCCTATAGCTATGATATAATTACACTCAACAGACAACACCATGACCATCCCTCCTCCATGACCATAAAGCGCGTTGTTACCACTGTGGCAGAATCCGTGAGTTTTATTCAAATGTTTATAACTTCATCAAACTTTTGTACGTAGGTTTTCTACACATAAGCAAACACTTGGTCCAAAATCCTCTATTCTCTCAATTCCATAGTAATAACTTCGGCTTCAGCATAGTCTCCGCCACCTTCGCACTCACTTTCATCTTCTTCCCCATGAGCTTATCTCTAAGCAGCTGGTTATGAGTACTTCTTCAAGTAACGTTTTTAGTCAGTACAATGAACTTGCCTGCATGTATCATGGTTGATGTGCTTCTGCATAGTATTTTTGTGCTCCTGTTTCGAATTTCCCCCGCCGCCTGCCTTTTTTATTTATTTTTCAGGTCTTCTTAACCGGTCCTTCGCCAACGTGCACCATGTCATAAAAACTTTATGACGAAGGCACACAATCCAGGGTTATGGCTGTACCGCCCTCCCTACATTCAAGAGCATTGGAAGATTCAAACAATAGCTGAATAATTCCTGCTTTTGATCCGGGCTCGCTTCAGTATGATGAACAATTATGTTGGTGTCTATCCGTTTTATTTTTTTCTGCGAAGCATTAACGTTCTTTCCCTTGATGCGCCTCTTATGTGCCGTAAATACTGGCATCTAATTTATAACTTAACATTGTACATAACAGTCAGCTTACACCACCAAAATAATCGAACCTGTAAACTGACTTGTATTCATGTAGCCGTTGTTGAATGAAATATACTATTATCATAGCCGTTATCTGGCGTTCGCGAACCAACAACTTCCCACATGCGTGCGAGGATGTCAGCATCTGGGTTACTGCCCACCTCGATATTATGAAGCAATCTGTTTAGGCGCTGGCGATCTGCGAGATCACTTTTCTTCAGAATTGCAGCTTTTAGAAGTGCATAGGGACCACTTACTTCAGGTCTAAATGTATGCGCTGTAACGTGCCTGTTTAATTACCGCGGTAGTGAACGAGTGACTGCAAGGAATCGAGAATGTGAATCTGCTACCCCCTGTTCCCGAAAATCTGCCTCGGCATACACAAAACATGTTTCTGCGCCGTCAGTCCAGTATGACACGAATCCGATGGTGTTCGTCGTCAGTTTGAAACGGATAAGTTTCGGAGTACGTTCGGGCGTGGAATGATGTTGCAAATGGATATGTAAAGGTTATCAAAATAAAACGACGTACAAGTATGAAAAGGAAAGGGCTCACCGATCTAGGAATTGCCATTGTTCGAAATTGACAGACTCAAAGGACAGTCACTAGTTATTCGCACCAGTAATATGCCCACGAATGCGAGATCGAGGAAGAACACACTGGCATGGTTAGATGGAATGATATATTCGTGAGGTCGGGGCAAAATACAGATGCTTTCCAACCAGCTGGTTAGACAGCCGATAACGAGTGGTGCAATGCGACACGACAGCGTGCCAAGTGGCACAGATGCTCAATCGTGTGTCTTCAGGTTAGAGAGTCCTGTAGAACTACGAAGGTCAGCATCAAAGTTGAATCTCTTCGATCCCTAGGCTACTGATTCCGGCTTAGCATGTGACGCCACAAGCTGACTTATTCCGTAGTTACGTGAGTTATGACAATGGGCTTCTGGCTTTTCACCTCGGTTGCTCCAGTATCGAAAGTCAGGTTAGCATATAATAAAAAGCGCAGCCACCGATGTGGCTGTTCAAAAGAAACGTATTCCTGGATAGTTACAAAGACTATCTAAACTGAAGACATAAGCCTGACTATACACCTAGGATGTACTAGTGGCTAAATATGGCTTGACGGCCGGTAAAATGAAGTGTGAGAATGATGGCATACTTCTGGCCAAACCTAAAGACTAAAACAATGGAGCTTGAAATTCATGCAAATACAAAGTTGCAGTGTTGTTTGAGACAAATCATCCTGAGTATCATGTTCGGGAAAGATAATCACAAGCAATCTTTGAAATAGACATTTGATATTTTGAAACCACTGAAAAATACTCAAAGGACTTGTTAACCAAATACGAAACAAAGTCTCAGGTTTGTTTGTTCACATTCGATTTGAGTGCGCTAAGCGAGGGGGTTTTCGTATGGAATTTCGATGATCCAGCGTTGTCTTCTAACGGGGAAGCTATCACTCTTTGGTGGGCGTATCGGTGCTCACAAATGAATTTTCTATCAAACTGAAGCTGTGAAGCCGATCAGGGACCTTTAATCGATCTCAGGGACAATGTTTCGTTGGACATACGTAGGTGTCAACACAAGTATTGAAGGTGCAGGTGGTCAGGGTTGCGTTGACTATATTCCAACTGCAAGGAGATTCCTGGAGTCTGTATTTGTTTGCATCATGTTTTCTTACACTGCATACTGGTCATACCTAAAACTAAAAGTTGAGATTCCACGACAACAGAGTGAACCCGTAAAGCTGAGACAGGCAATTCTTGTGGTGCACTCTTTTGTATTTGGAATAGAATTTGGATTTAAGTTGGCAACTAGCACACTTATATGGATATTGAACCCATGCCATATCATAACAGTATTGCAGGTAGGATTTGGAGATGTTTTCAACGTAGGAATTTTTTCTGTGTTTATGAGGTAGCCGTCAGACGTTAAGGTCTCTCTTATCGTTCCCTATTGTTTTTGCTGCGGTTGCTTTAAGTATTGTGTGAATTCGTTGGGCCTTCCGGAGGATAGAAAGTTTTTCTTTTTTGATTGCCGGCTCATGTTATTTTTGTACCCACCGCAATTCGTAGCTGTTTATTCACAGATCGTGATTGATGCACCTCTACTGGGTATTTTATGCCACAATTCCATGTTGGGTCTGAGGCTTGCTTCTGTTTTTCATTTTGATGCCTGACTGATTAGCTCCTAACTCATGCGAGTCCCTAGTGGTCGCAATTTTCAGCGTGTCTTGTTTCCGATTCGATGCTTCGGCTGCACCACTCATCCTATCTTCGGGGGCGTTCGTTTACACGGATAGCGGTTGAATAATTCCTAGTTTCCAACTGAACTATGTTTGACTTACTGAAAATTGACGCTTGTGTTAGTCTTTTTTATTGTTGTTTGTCTGCGAAAGAATAAAGTTTTATCTTTAAACTCACCTTTTATTTGCCTCAGATATCGATCTCGAATGCACTGTTTTATTGACCATAACGGTGAATTTTTACGCTCTAATTATTCGGTCCATTTTCTTGCGTACGAGGATTTATTGGGAGGTGTGCCAACAAAGTTTGGGATCCATTTTGGCGACTTCTCGTTTTGTCTTTTTCGATGATACTTATATATGGTCTCGTGAGTCTCTTCCATCATCTCATAACCCGAAGACGTCCCGGCTATGCTGATAATCGTTTGTCTGCTCTTTCTAAATATTCCTGAACTCGTACTGCCCAGCCATTCCCGACCAGCCAAGTCGTTAGTTTACTCTCGTTTTAACACCAGAATACCGTACTTGGTAACACCTAAGGGCAATATCTGTGTTTACAAGCGAATGGATATACGGAAACAAACTTCACTGTGACAGTGATATTCTAGCCAGGTATCTGGTCTCATGTGTCTCAGGATCAATGTGATTTTGCATCCAGCGTCAATTGTTAAGGCTGCCTAAGTATGAGTTGTTAAAGTTCGATGGCTACCCAACAAAATATCTTAGCTTTATAAAGGTGGAACAACTGCTAAACGACGACAGTGCAACTAATGAAAATAGGCTACTTCGCTGCAGCGGCTGCTTGAGCCACGAATTCCTGCACAACGTCTCTCTGGAAGAAGCAGGGTTTTCATAACCTTTTAGATTTGGTAGACCCCAAGTGATCTCCATTAGCTTTTGGGGAAATCAAAAAAGTGGGAGGTGATCCAAGGGAAAAATACACTTGAGTTCCGAAATTACGACACCAAACTTGACGCTCAGCCTTTTCTGAGTGGCTGTTAAGTGCCTACCTACTAGATTACAAAGAAGAATGAAGACTATTGCTGGAATGGAGGGCAACAGCTTGAAGCCATGTTTTGCTGAAATCATGGTGCCGTTAAAGTCGACGCACATACAACGATGAGCTGGTACCCCAACATTGCGAACTTTCCCTTACTGACAGAGAAAATTATGGGTCAAAAAGTACAGCTGCTGTGAAGATATTTGTGTCTTTTAAGCTACGTGATAAGTATTCTCTGTGTAAAGTTTCCTCGGCCAATGAGGCTTGCCAGAAAAGGTGGGGGTATTTAAAAAGATGGACTTGTGTATCAATCGCCCAACGAAGTGACATGCCGTGAGAAACGGCAAGTCAGAAACCACGGGGACAGATCGATTAAACAAATTTCACCAGTTACTGAAGACGATCGTGAGAGATACAACCTAGGCTTGAGTTAAGTAAGGGGAAACATGAACATAGGAAACACAATCCTTTTTGGCATTCTTATTTTTTTCTCTGCCTGCTGCTGTTTCTGCTTTTTTCCTGTTGTAGAAAAGCAATTCACTTCTAAATGTTGGCTTGGTCGTCATTGAAAATTAATTATTTAAAGGACAGATGTCGACTAAAACTACCCTTCATGGAGGGTAGCCAGTATTACTGCGTTCACAATACCTAAGTACAACAGACAGAACGAAAGAATGTTCATCGGGCTACAACTTCACAATTATCAAAACCTAGGATTCATTCGTTATGAAAGTGATTGGGAAAGTCTAACGCTCACCGACCACAATTTTGTCACTACACGTGAAGATTGTGGACTAGATGTTCTGGAAGTCCGATTGACACGTTCAAACAAGTCTATTGATCTGCACGCTGGGGCCGAGAAACACAGATATTCAGATCTCGGCCGCAATATTCAGCAAGATTATGAATCTTCAATGTGAAATGGTATTAAAGTATATGAATTACACAGCTCTTGAATCATCAATGAAGTACAATAAATAAACAACTTGTATAATAATAATTTATTCTTGAATTTACAGGTGCATATCACTTTTACAGATAGGGTTGTAACAATTGGCGGTGGAAAATCTCCGGTAATATTTTTTCATAAAAATTTTGTCATCTCTTTATTCCAGGTAGTGGAAATCCCCTGTCTGAAGAAAAAAGAAAACTTTACACAACATACAAATGGTGCCACTAGTACATCCTAGGTGTATAGTCAGGCTTATGTCTTCAGTTTAGATAGTCTTTGTAACTATCCAGGAATACGTTTCTTTTGAACAGCCACATCGGTGGCTGCGCTTTTTATTATATGCTAACCTGACTTTCGATACTGGAGCAACCGAGGTGAAAAGCCAGAAGCCCATTGTCATAACTCACGTAACTACGGAATAAGTCAGCTTGTGGCGTCACATGCTAAGCCGGAATCAGTAGCCTAGGGATCGAAGAGATTCAACTTTGATGCTGACCTTCGTAGTTCTACAGGACTCTCTAACCTGAAGACACACGATTGAGCATCTGTGCCACTTGGCACGCTGTTGTGTCGCATTGCACCACTCGTTATCGGCTGTCTAACCAGCTGGTTGGAAAGCATCTGTATTTTGCCCCGACCTCACGAATATATCATTCCATCTAACCATGCCAGTGTGTTCTTCCTCGATCTCGCATTCGTGGGCATATTACTGGTGCGAATAACTAGTGACTGTCCTTTGAGTCTGTCAATTTCGAACAATGGCAATTCCTAGATCGGTGAGCCCTTTCCTTTTCATACTTGTACGTCGTTTTATTTTGATAACCTTTACATATCCATTTGCAACATCATTCCACGCCCGAACGTACTCCGAAACTTATCCGTTTCAAACTGACGACGAACACCATCGGATTCGTGTCATACTGGACTGACGGCGCAGAAACATGTTTTGTGTATGCCGAGGCAGATTTTCGGGAACAGGGGGTAGCAGATTCACATTCTCGATTCCTTGCAGTCACTCGTTCACTACCGCGGTAATTAAACAGGCACGTTACAGCGCATACATTTAGACCTGAAGTAAGTGGTCCCTATGCACTTCTAAAAGCTGCAATTCTGAAGAAAAGTGATCTCGCAGATCGCCAGCGCCTAAACAGATTGCTTCATAATATCGAGGTGGGCAGTAACCCAGATGCTGACATCCTCGCACGCATGTGGGAAGTTGTTGGTTCGCGAACGCCAGATAACGGCTATGATAATAGTATATTTCATTCAACAACGGCTACATGAATACAAGTCAGTTTACAGGTTCGATTATTTTGGTGGTGTAAGCTGACTGTTATGTACAATGTTAAGTTATAAATTAGATGCCAGTATTTACGGCACATAAGAGGCGCATCAAGGGAAAGAACGTTAATGCTTCGCAGAAAAAAATAAAACGGATAGACACCAACATAATTGTTCATCATACTGAAGCGAGCCCGGATCAAAAGCAGGAATTATTCAGCTATTGTTTGAATCTTCCAATGCTCTTGAATGTAGGGAGGGCGGTACAGCCATAACCCTGGATTGTGTGCCTTCGTCATAAAGTTTTTATGACATGGTGCACGTTGGCGAAGGACCGGTTAAGAAGACCTGAAAAATAAATAAAAAAGGCAGGCGGCGGGGGAAATTCGAAACAGGAGCACAAAAATACTATGCAGAAGCACATCAACCATGATACATGCAGGCAAGTTCATTGTACTGACTAAAAACGTTACTTGAAGAAGTACTCATAACCAGCTGCTTAGAGATAAGCTCATGGGGAAGAAGATGAAAGTGAGTGCGAAGGTGGCGGAGACTATGCTGAAGCCGAAGTTATTACTATGGAATTGAGAGAATAGAGGATTTTGGACCAAGTGTTTGCTTATGTGTAGAAAACCTACGTACAAAAGTTTGATGAAGTTATAAACATTTGAATAAAACTCACGGATTCTGCCACAGTGGTAACAACGCGCTTTATGGTCATGGAGGAGGGATGGTCATGGTGTTGTCTGTTGAGTGTAATTATATCATAGCTATAGGGACAATGTAGTGGTACAGAGTAAGGCCAGCTGGTAGACCGGGCGGACATTTTTTGGTGACCTCATTCCATCTGCTGTTATTTTGTCGTCATAAGTACAAGAGCCGTAGGTTTCGCAAAAATGCCGCCCTACAGGCAAGGGTAGTTCAAGGTTACCTCCCTGCCTCATGACAGTTAGTCATCACCATCTCCACATAATTTCACGTTATTTTTTGTGCTGCGCTCAGTAGATCCGGTGGTTATCAAGATATTTCTAGCTTACTGTCAGCTGGCTAAGACAGTGCATACATTATTGACCCAGTCATTCCTTGGCATGCACCACATATCACGCAACGCCTACGACCACTCTACCTCCACCCATACATGGTCAAGCTTGATTCACGTCGCAAAACTGGCTTGTACTACTGCACAGCACAATGACTCCTGGCTTATTGCAAAAAGAAAAGAGAATGGTGGGTGAAATGTTTATTTCTAGGGGGATTGAGGGTAGCTCAACTATGGTAGAATTTAGGTTAGGAATGGTAACTATCATAAAGCACAATTACCACAAATTCACATAGGATAGTATGTAATTCAACAAAAATCACTCACTGTTTGATGAATCCTTGGGTGGTCGCATTAGGTTATTGGTTATTGGACTCTAGATATTCGGTAAGCCGATAGGGAAC